TATAACTCGTGATAAAAAACACATGTGACTCATCAATTCAATCCTTTAATGGAAAAGTGTAAGTTCTGCTGAAATGACTGGAACTACTTTCACCAAAAATAAACTGACTTGAGGACCCCCTTGTACCTGTTCTCTTTCTTAACCTACACAATGTAATTAGCATATGAAAAGTATTTATTTATCTTTCAGCACATGTGCAGAAATCCCAAGACACAAGGCCAGCCATAGTTGTCATTTGACATGCTGATTTAGTTTACATTGTTGCACAATGGGTGGGGAGTGTACAAGATGAAACTGAAAGTGGATTTAAAAAACCCATCCCCATGCAAGCTGTTCTCTTTAACGAACACCACCCCAATAGTTACCACAGATATGTCTCACTTCTCAGCAGCAGTACAGAGTGGTCAATGAGCAAAAGTTTTTAAAATGTTTGATAACAAATATGCAATTTCAATTATACTGCAAATCATTTAATTTGTCCCAGTAAAATTTTCATGAAATTTTGTGAAAACTGCAAAAATTGTAATTATTTTCCCAAAAGTCCTGAAGAATTGAGTCTCAGCATGGACTTGGTAGTATGTGCATGGTCACAGTGACCTTCATCCAATGCTCTCAAAATTACTTGATTAATGACAAAGCAAACACTGTAATTGTTTCCATTTCTAGGAACTCTGAAATACTACTTGAATGTATGAATGCAAATTTCAACCAGAGAGGCAATTATATTTATATATATAATGGTATATTCCCACACATGATGCCATATTAATTAAAACATGCATTAATTCTCCTCCCTTCATTGATAAGACAAGGTCAAGTTCCATGCACTGCAAGAGCACCACACTGCAGGGCTTCAGTAAAGCGGAAAAACACATTCCTTGCACAGCCCCCCCCAATCTTTGTCATCTATAAGCATTTTTTTTAGAGATCTAATTATGATTTTTTGTTCTGTAATATTGTTTAGAATCACATTCTTAAACACGACCTCAGTATTATATCATCACAGATTGAGAGAGTGGATATTTAGGTTGGTTTCAGCATGAAATGTGCTTACCGGGGTAAGTAATGTCAAGCTAGCAGAATATGCAAGGAGTTTCATTCGTAAATTAAATGCTGGTGTATTGATGGATTAAATTGAATGGCTATTACCGCATGCAAAGGGCAAGAATTCAGCAATTTCTATAAAACCAGAAAAACAAATTTCCTATTTAGATTTCCCCAGACCATGACAACCACTTTAACATAACAAATATTTATTTTTTATTAACAGATGTTTTCTATACTATACAGTGACGGTACAAGTTGTGTTGAAAAGTTATTATATAACTTCTGCATTTAAATTGTAATCAGATAGAGATGTTGGATTCATGAAATAGATTTATTTTGCTTTAAAATCTGAAAATGTGGTGTTTTTTCATATATTGCGATTTTAGTGATGCATGAAAAGGACAATTCAACAAAGGAAAGTTAAATAATATTATAGTACAACAGAGCATTGCAGAAGGTGGGTATAATTGATAGAGGTTTCTTGTACTCTGCGACTGCCCTGTGACATGGCTACTTATCGGCAATACTGCAGGGAAATAATTAAAACTATTTGATAAACGTGTTGTGTATCACAGACATTGCGTCTCTCTTCGCAGCACTTGGAATGAGCAAGAACGATTTGTTTCTATCGAGGGAAATGAACAAATGTGAAAATCGGATGATTGCCGAGATAAGGGGATTTAAAACCACTTGTATTTCACTTCGTGATGAATTGTATAGCAATACTGAGAATGCAAACGTGTATTTCACTCTAGGGTATTTAGACTATAGGTTTTGTTCTTTGACAAGTCCCCGATACAAATGAGCCCTATTCATCCGGCACAACTTAGCTGATTATCAAAATTGTTGAAGTACTGGTAATATTAATTATAAACTAATTAGTTAAATCACTGCACAATTGGACAAATTCTCATGGAAATTTATCACAAAGCTCATTTCTCCATTGCATCGTAAAAGTCATCTGAATGCAAGATTGATGTGCGTTACTAGCGGTGAAGATTTGAAGATAAAACCAAGCAGATTTTGATCATCTTAGATGCTGAACAGATACCACCCAGTCAGTCTGTCCGTCAGTCAGTCAGTCAGGACATATCTTGATAATTTCCCTGTTTTATTTGGTGATCCAAAAATGAATTAAAACATGCTCTTCAAGTGTACAAACATTAAAGCGCGGTGGTCGTCGCGTGTTCAAATTTCATGTAATGAGTTGCTATGAGTCCCATATCGAACAGGACGCGGCACGACGACTGTCCCCCTTTAAAATTGTACCAGTAAGTACAAGACACTATATGCAAATTATGTCCAAGACTGAACATTTGGAATATTGCAGAACAATAAGATTTTTCGGTGAAATTAAATGTATTTCATCTGATGTTTGTGAACTTGAACTTTTTTTTTACTATTGGCAAAAAGAACTTTTCATTTTCACCAACAAATTAGTGGGAAAAAATTTGTTGTATTCTTAAGAATAAAGAGGTGGAAAATCTAACCATTGAACCGTGAGAATATAAACATTTTCAAAACAATATCAGTGAAAATAATATCAAGTGATGCCCAACTGTCAGAAAGTGTCAGTTTCTCACTTTAGTCTCACATTTTTATCGAAACTACTCATATAGGACATACTGTAAAGGGGGTAATTATTCACTGGGTTTTAATTTAGCTTATTTCGCTGACTGGAAAATGCGCTAAATTAAAACCCAGTGAATATGTAAAATTTAGCATAGAACGCATTATCTAAATGATAAAACCGTGAATTTAAAACCCACTGAATATGCTTGAAATGGTAAATCAGTGAAATATAAACCCAGTGATAATTAGTCATTTTACAGTACAACACAGATTGCTTTCTTGGTTTACATAGAAGGAATTCTCACATGATATAAACTTTTTTAGGTGATGAACCAAACCTTTGACTGTCTTCAACAATAAGGCTCATACACCTCAGAGAAAATAAAATTCCAGTTCATTCCAGCCTCATAGTGATAACTTTCGCGGCTATTTTATTTGCGAGTAATAAGTCAATTAATAAAAGAATGCTCATTCAAGTTTTACCTGAAAAAGTGTCATCGTTTTTCTTTGAATTAAAGCGTGGTGGTTTAATTAGAGTACACATTTTTGGTGATGAGAATGACCTCTGAACTGTACATTTCAAACAATATGGTGATGTTTGCAGTCGAAGAAATGAACATTTCCCGCCATCTGCAAATTATAAACAAGCAGCCTCTCGGCTTAAATAGCTCCGCTGTTAGCAATGCACAGTCAATTAGAGAATTGAAGATATCATCACAAAATGAACAAATCTGAGATCAGTCCACCTAAGGTACCTATATTTACCAAAAATGACAAAAATATTCATCAAAAGTAGAGAATTGAAAGATATCACGAAATTAACAAATTTAAGAGCTGTCTACCCAAGGTACATATACACCAAGTATCAAAGCAATCAGACTTGTAGTTTTCAAGAAGAAGTTGAAAAACAACAAGTTGACATGGACGCCGACAGACCATGGACACCGACGATGGACAATCACTAATATGATAAGCTCCGCTAGACAAAGTTGATAGCAGAGCCAATAAGTTTCTTAATATGGTGCACAAAACTGAGGCAGCCATTAAGATAATATGTGTGACATGATGTAGATGTAAAGTTAGATTGCAATCAGTAAAGGAATGTCAGTGATAATGGCTTATTTAGAACAGTATCTTTTACAAAATGTCTGTTAGTCGTCTATTTTGAATCTGAAAAAAAAAAAGACAGTTGTATGTACCAAGTTGAACAAAATCCATTCAAGATTTGACATTACAAATGTAGATTATGGATGCCTAGAGGTCCAGCACATTCCAGACGGGAAACAAACCCTTACAAACACTGGTTCATCCAACAAATTAGATAGATCCTTTACACAGAGACAGAAATCTGCCATTATAAGTATAAATTCTGTCTGGGCATACGCCTAATGATTCAATAATTTTGGAAATGTGATTTTATTTGATGACACATGACTGCATTCTGATCAATCAGCACAAAGCATAATAACAACCAATAAAATGATATACTTGTACATTAGCAATAAAATTTTATTACATAATTATAATATAGCTGAATTATTAGAATCTACTGGGTTGAAATTTTACATAAAATATCGTGTAATCTTTACATAATAATGACTATGCATATGAACATGTGTGTTTAGATGCCTTGGTTAAATTCTAATACTTCATGGCCCGGATAATGGTGAGAAATTATCTCTCTCCGTAAGCAGAATACAACTCAAAAATATGTATAATTTTTTTTTAAATGCGTGACATTTTGATGTTATGAAAAAAATTGATAAAATTACAGGGTCATCAAAGTTTGGTGAAAATTGATCCTATGCAATTTTACCATATGACTGTTTTCTACATTGCGGAAATACCTAAACATTTTGACATATGGCGACAAAATTGACATTTTTATTAGGGTTTTCGAGTGATTTCTATATCTTTTTGCGTATAATTTGACAGCTTTTTTGAACAAATATAGTGAGAAAGTTGACTAAATCATAAAAAAATTACTCAGATATTATAGGCATTAAATATTCTCACTGGTGCATGTGCATATGACAAAAACACACAAGTAGTATTCTACCTTCGGGCACATTATCATTTTATCCAGCATTCACTAATAATGCGTAATTAACCTACAATGGACTGTATCTGCTACTGTACTCTTTCTGACTAGACAGGTCAGGGCAGGTGGGGCAAAATTTATTGACTTTTAAATAATTGAAAACTGTATACAAATATAATCAAAATAAACAAATTGGTTTTATTTGCCAGACACTTCAGTAAATAAGAATTTTAATCCAAATGTTACCCGAGTCAATTGTCCCAATTCAGTTACACTTGAGTAAATTTCATCGCCCGAGGTTGTAGCCATTTAAATCAAACAAAATAGGAGCGAACCCAGGGAGGTATATACTATGATGCTCAACAGTAAATGGTGAAGGGAAATGTAACAAAACTATGAATTTTAGAAGTCAATATTTGGAAATGTTTTTGAATTTTGCAACTATTTTATAATACACCATCTACTATACTAGTAGAACACAAATAAACATAATATTGTCTTGTATTAAATATTTTGTATTCACTTCTCAAAAATTCAAACCCTAGGGTTTTTCTTTTCAAAGTTATATTTCATGCCAAAATATCGGTAAAATATTTTTCATATTTTTATGAATGTTTCTATAATAATTTTTATGGATAAAATTTCACTTTGACTCCAAATTTTGATTAAAATTTGTGAACAAATATGGGAAAAAAAAAAGTTATTTTATAATCGGTGACGAAAGTTGACTTTACCATACAAAGGGAGCATGGAGGAAGGAAGGAGAATGTGTTGTGGAGTGGGGTTTACAGTTGGATAGAAATAACAGCAGTATTTTTTAACAAATACTGCATAGAACTGATAAAAATAGTTGCATTTTGATTTTTCATGGTAGAGATTAGACATACTGAATAATTGTACATAACATAGGTCACCAAACTGATGAAGTTTTTCTGCATAATACCGATAGAGGGCGCTACCACTACAAACTTACAACAAGGGGATTAGTATCATCTTGTACATGCATGCTGGGTTTTATAGTGCAGTGGACAAAAAAGAACAGTATCAATATTTTGATCTTCACAATACATTGTTCCAATTGTTTATCTTTGAATAATAAACATTTTTCTTGTTGCAACAAGTGGCAGGGTCGATCCTTATATTCAGTAAAATACTGTGAAATACTTTATTTTTGCTGGAACTAATTTTTGGTTGTTTTGTATGGAATTTATTTTTACTGGTTTTTGATGAGTTTAATGTGAAATATAGGAAAAAAAAGTATATTCACTAGATTTTATTTTCACGGAATCATCCCTTCAGTGCCAGAAAATAGCGAAAATAAATTCCAAGCGAAAAAAAGTATTCTACAGTATACAAAATGTCTAAAATACTAATAATTTTGTAAAATTTGCTGTTGCTGGTAAAATAAATGCATTTCATCATTTATATGAGCCCATAGTATTATTTATGCCTCATTGGTTTGTGCAAGTTCATGTATAGTATATATTTAGTTGAACTTTCAGCAGAACACTGAATTTCTGTGAATTTGTTCACATGTCAAAGAATACTATAGGCTCATGTGTATATAAAATGTAAATGACTTTTACTGAAATTAATTTTTCTGCAGTTATAACACAGGGAGCCCAGGAACTATAATCAACTGTACGCACTTCCATATGAGAGGGAGGAGGGGGGGGGGAGGTAACGGCTGGTGGCTAGTGTAAGAAATAGAAATAAGTGGAGTTTTCTTGATTTATTCTGCAGATATAGGCAACAAATATTCTTCAACCTGGTATTTTTTATAGATTTTATTTTTCATTCTGTTCTTCTGTTTTTCCCAGTTTAAAAAATATGAGCTTGCTGGAGCCTTCATCCCTTGTCTATTTCTTACGCTAGATACCAGCCGATAGCCAGCCCCCCCTGCCCCGCCCGCTCATAGAGAATGCGTACAATTGATTATACTTCTTGGGCTCCCTGTGGTTATAATGTAATTTTAATTTCCAACTGACGCCCATCGTGCACGTAGATGTTGTCATTTGCAATCAAAATTCGGCCAAACGACAGGGATATTGAAGTGTTATAAATGAGAAAAAAATAATAATAAATAAAGTTATATTACATAACGCAATCTAATTTCAAAACCTGATTGATGTCACAAATTAATGTGTAACAAATAACTTGGGTTAAATTTGAATAATAATGGCATACACCCCAATAACAATTTTATATGAAACCATCTCTAGCCCTTCAATTTAGAAACAGTGACATTTTATTTTTATTTTTCAGTTGTACCATTTCCAGCTGCCAGTTGTACTTCAGTTGTTGTTCCAGCAATAAATCCATCCGGAATAAGTTTTATGAATATCTCACGCATAACACAAAATAAATTTTACATGACCATGCGCAAATTAATCCTTTTCACAGTGATATCAAGAGTTCAGCTTCTCACGCAAAACAAATTCCCAAAAAGTCCATCCATTTGTTAGTGAAACACAGATTATATTTTGTGTGTCCCTCACACCACATACTGTTCAGTAGTTGATCATTTTCTTGATGGCATCCAGACACCTCCATTTATCAGGTAGGTAAAATGGCTCAAATATGTGAGGGAACGGTGTGTCCCATCCACACACTCTTTGAATAGGAGCTTCCAAGTTCAGAAAACATTCAGTCTATGAAGAGAGAGGAAAAACAGTTAATATCTAAGCTTTTAGAAGATATATAGGTTGTTATAGTAGCATGCTGAGTAACTTTTACAGAATGTCAGAATCACAGATTAATTATTCACTTTTTTCTTCCTGTTGCTACCATAAACAGGGGGTGGCAAAATATGTTGTTTAAAAAATTTCACAATATTAATAATTGGCTCACATCTCATCAACCTATTTTTACCCGATACAATATAATTTTTTTAGAAAAAACACAAAAATGGACAAAGATGGAATGGAGCAGTTCCCATAGGAATTTATCTGAAAGCAGTAATTCACAAAAAAAAAAAAATATTAATGATCAAAATTTCCTAAAAACTACTTTGTTAATTTATTTTTCACAATTATTATTTCTAATGATTTAATTTTTTTTTTCAATAATTATATTACAAAATATTACTCATCACTGAATCATATCTGTTTTTATCATCTATCATTTCTTCTCATCTCTTTCATCTTTGCTAAACACTGTCACATTTGTAGATTTAGTAAATTTTCTTTACTTTTCCTCAGATGCAACGATCAGTCTTATAAATGACCCTAAAGTTCACACATCCTGGCACTTTGTGTCAACAACCACCACAATAATTTCCAATATTATATACTGTAAAGGGGGTAATTATTCACTGGGTTTTAATTTGGCTTATTTCGCTGACTGGAAAATGCGCTAAATTAAAACCCAGTGAATATGTAAAATTTAGCATAGAACACATTATCTAAATGACGAAACTGTGAATTTAAAACCCACTGAATATGCCTGAAATGGTAAATCAGCGAAATTTAAACCCAGTGAAAATTAGTCATTTTACAGTACTGCCAAATACTTTATTTTAGCTGGAATTAATTTTCACTGAAAAGACTTTTTGGGTGTTTTGTATGGAATTTATTTTCACTGATTTTTGACGAGTTAAATGTAAAACATAGG